TTTTGATATATATAATATATTTTGATATATATTAAATTTATTTTGTTATGTGAATTGGCATTATTTTAATTTGTTTTTGAATATTTTTGTTAGAAATATATTTCTTGGATATTTATATTCGTATCCAAATTATTTGGTGGGAAATCGGGTAAATTAATTTATATTACTAATATAATATTATTGGAATTTGGAATCTAATTTAATTCTTGAAATTTTTGGAAATTAATTATAATAATATTATAAATATTTAATATAGAAACATAATATATAAATTTAAATATTTTATAAAATAATATAATAATTCGAAGATTTATTTTTCAATTATTATATATATATTATTTTTTGAATTTTTGAATAATTGGAATTTAATGGATCATAATTTAAATAATATATTATAATATAAATAATAATTATTTATTTTTATAATTATTACGGACAGAATTGGATTATCCCTTATCGGATATTTTTTTTTTGATTTTTAATAATATATAAATAAAAAAAATTATTTATTGGATTATTATTTAAAAAAATTAAAATATAATGAAATATAATAATAAAAAACAAAATAATAATAGTAGAAGTAGGAGTAGCAGTAGTAGAAGTAGGAGTAGTAGGAATAGTAGTAGTAGGAGTGGTAGGAATAGTAGTATAATTTTGGTAAATGAAAATAATTTTAAAAATTAATATTGGATGGGATATCGATAAAAATGAAATATAAATTAATATAAATTATTAATATTTTTAATATTAAAAAAAAAAATTAAAGGACCGGATAATCCCATATATCAATTTCTTCCAATATTGAATTTCAAAGGATATAGTGGGGACGGGAAAGGAAAGAAAAATAAAGGAGGTAATGAAGGATCGAGAAATTAAAATAATTATATATAATAAAATAATATGTGAAAGACGGTGTGTGATAAAGCAAGAAGGTATGTGAAAAGATAGTATGTATGTATATATGTATGTATGTATCTGATAAAATTATAAGTAAAAAATAATGAATAAATAATAATACAAATATATTTTTTCCAGCATTGTAATCTCATCTGCCTTGTATGCGGCATTATTACGAACCTGGAATGGATTAAATGAGGTTTTCCATGATTTTCTCTGCTCCATGTGGTAAAACGAGATGTTCTACATAAGAACCGTACCTTTCGAAATATTCCGGAAGATAAATATATAGAAATTATATCGATATATACCATATGCCGGAGCAACCATAAAAAATGCCGGAACAAGATGTGTGTAAATA